TTGAGTTTGCATTTACGCCTTTCCCCTTTGGTTTTTTCTGAGAATCAGAGAGATTCGGAATGTTTGCCAGCCATGATTTCGTATATCTTTTTGATGTTACATTTATAGTTCATTTTTTGCCTCTTCTTTATTGTTTTATCACAGAAGCAAAATGAGACTTCATCGGCAATTAATTGTAACATTTCATTCCGCCATAAAAATTCTTCAACGCAAAAACTTAGGGGACTCCGTAATACTGAGTTTAGATTTGACAAATCTACAGCATAAATTTCGAGCAACTGAAAATTACTTAATTTCAAATGCCAACCGACTTAATCTCTGCTTGAATCGCCTAATTGTCGATTTCAGTAGATTGAGCAAATCAATTTTATTTGTTATAACAATGAAACTGGAAGAGCGACACATGTTTTTGATAGAAGATAGATTGATTACAAAACATCGATGCGACTGAGAGGAAATAGAATTTATTTGTTCTTAACAAAATAACGTCTAAACCAAAAAAGAACTTTGGGGGCATTCATAATAAATTTATGATTTTATAAAATCTGTTGTAATGACAAAGCGCAAATGATCTTTCCCTTCTACCCAATGAATTTTCCTAATTGAAGTGGTTAGTTATCTATTGTACTACCAGTCATTCGGCGCGTCAAGAGTCTGTGGAGCAAAGTTTTTGAATATTTCACTCGACTATCTCCACGTATGACTTTGTCTTTGAAAACTAGTATCAATATTGTTTTCCCTTTTCCAAATGTTATGAATAAGCAAAATGAAGTTTGCAAGATGCTGTATACGTACAATTTATTTCATAAGTTTTACTGCAGAAATTTTGTGTCTTGACAAGAGATGTTTTCATAAGTATACTAATAAAATGTATGATTTATGTTTTCCCATTCCTCTTCTCTTGCACCTGTCATAAGCAATGGATCTCTTGGTTATAAGAAATTTTTACGATCTTCTCTTACTTCTTTGAAAACATGAGCAGGATCAGTCAGATCTCGAAAATATGGAAAAAAAAGTAGTAACGTAGAAATTTGAGAGTTGTTTGCATCTGACATTCGTTTGGTATACTTTTTAGGGAAAAGTAATCTAGAAAATTTAAGTTATCACTCTTTTCTTCACTAGTGACGCAAAAAACTAAAGTAATAACAAGAACAGGGAATGCCTTTGATAGCAATAAGCTTATTTTTCTCCTATGAAATTCCCTGGAGGCTGAAGACGCACCTGGCCAATATATAAACAGGTCGCAGATAGAGTAATATGAGAAATTTATAGTAGTTGACAGAAAAATCCTAGATTGAACAGCCAAGAGGATCTAACAGGAAATTTGACCCATGGTATGGAAAAAGGAACTCACTTTATAGCCGTCGTGCTACAAATCGTTGCCGTAAGCAAAATGACCGTAGTCCAGATCATAATCTATCCATACGAATACGGTAGCCGTAAGAAGGCGCGCGCACTTGGAAGATATGCAACACACACTCTCTCGCCGACAATAGAACGACGTCGACGTTGGCCGCTGATGCCTCAGGGCGCTGAAGATACGCGCTGGCCCGCAGCGACACGCCCCCCTCGAGTCGCGGACTTCTCACCCTCATGGTCTGGAATCACTTAAGGCTGAATCGGAGCCATCTGGATATCGTGCTTATGGCGATTACCATGTGTATTTATCCAAGAAATCGCAGTGCCGCTTATCCGGAAATGTCGCATTAGCGGATGCTATGGATGGTGTGAGAAATATGCGAACGCACGAGCGCGCGCGCGTTGAACTTCTATTGCTGATGCTATCCGGTATCCAATTACACAGATGGAGATGTGTGAGGATGTGAATTGCTACTTTCAAGCCTCGCTAGAGTGTCGCTAGAGTGTCATGGTGCAGGAGGATGGCGGCTCTTGTCGAGCACTTTCAAGTTATATATGATATACGTATGGAATGCGTTCAGATGGAAAGTGCTTGTTGTCGGACATTGAATGAGGTTGGTCGATGGCAATTTTGCACCTGCGAAATATTCGATAGAGTACTCTTTCGATGCTTCTCCCTTTAGATTGATGAGAAAAAA